GGGATTTGACCGTCCTGTGCGGTGTGTGACCGTCCTGTGCGGGATGTGACCGTCCTGTGCGGTGTGTGACCGTCCTGTGGGGGTGTGTGACCGTCCTGTGCGGGGTGTGACCGTCCTGTGCGGTGTGTGACCGTCCTGTGGGGGTGTGACCGTCCTGAGCAGGGTGTGACTGTGCGGGGTGTGACTGTGCGGGGTGTGACTGTGCGGGGTGTGACTGTGCGGGGTGTGACTGTGCGGGGTGTGACTGTGCGGGGTGTGACTGTGCGGGGTGTGACTGTGCGGGGTGTGACCGTCCTGTGCGGGATGTGACCGTCCTGTGCGGTGTGTGACCGTCCTGTGGGGGTGTGTGACCGTCCTGTGCGGGGTGTGACCGTCCTGTGGGGGTGTGACCGTCCTGAGCAGGGTGTGACTGTGCGGGGTGTGACTGTGCGGAGTGTGACTGTCCTGTGGGGGTGTGACCGTCCTGTGGGGGTGTGACCGCGCCGAGGTGCTCCCTGCCAGGAGGTGTCATTGCCCTCCGCTCCCTCCCTCCTGACGGCGGCTCCGTAGCAAAACCACGCAGGGTGGGAAGGGGGCGATGTTAACGATGGTAAATGTGCCGGGTGCCATTGAGAAGCTTGGCTGCAGATTTCCAGTAGAAAAGAGGGGGCTGACGTGACCAAACTGTTCGGTTTGTGTCCGACTGCCATGAAGCTGGCAACGTGATCCCGCACCGTGTGCTTGCAGCCCGGAGAGCCCGCTGAGTCCTCCCTGGAAGTGTTCAAGGGCAGGTGGGATGGGGCTTGGAGCAGCCTGGTCTGGTGGGAGGTGTCCCTGCCCATGGCAGGGGGGTGGAACTAGGGGGTCTTGAAGGTGGCTTCCAACCCAAACCAGTCTATGGTTCTATAATTCTATGAAAACATGGCTTTGTATGTGTGTCTGCTGGAAGCACAGCAGAGCATGGCAGCTCACACAAACACTGCTGAGGTGTCAGAAACATCTCCTTTGGGAAATATGATAGACCTTCTCTAAGTACTTAAGCCTATGGTAGGCGAATGCCTTTTGGGAATGGTTTTGGTGTAATTGACCTGGCTGATAGTGGTGGGATGGGATAATTTGTCGAACAAACTTCTTTCTCCTGTTTCTCTTCTAATCTCACGAAGATAAATTAGGCTTAGTGACAAGGGACTGCCCAATCTTAGTAATTTTTTTTCCTTAGAAAAACTTGAATTCCAATTATCTGGCTTAAAATCATGTGCTGGAAGAATACTGATCCTCAGCCTCATCAAATGAAGATTCCAACTACCAGCCCACCTGGTTGTGTCAGTTTGTTCTACAGGCACGAGATGGAAATACTGTGAGGTCTGGGAGCTAAATTCCTGAGTTACCACGTAAAAATGGAGACAGAAGTTAAGAGATTTATGTCTAAGAGAACATACTCAGTGGCTCTGGACAAGAAATGTATCAATAAAGCCACATGTTAGGACAGGAAACGACTTAATTCTGCGTCTGTTTATTTTTTCACACAAAAATGACTTCTTGAAATAAAAAATATATTCCAAAATATCTAATGGTTTTGTAGAAAAGCAGTTGTTTTTCAGGTTGTAGTTGTATGATTATTCAATTGACTTTATGGTTTAGAGGTTGTTACAAAACACTTCACTTAGAGAGGCCAAGATGTGCAAAGAGTGGGAACTGCAGTTGCCGTTGCTGCATTCACAAGGGGGTGTTCAGGGTTTTGTGTTGTCCCCAGTGGCTTTCCTTGACCTGCTGGAGAGGAGACGTAGGGCTGGAAGTTGGGATTTGGCCCCATGGTGTCTCCAGGAGACCATGAACCAGTGATTTAATACAGCGTGTGCCTCAGATCCCTGTCTCTGTAATTGAGATAGTATTTCTTCTTGGGCAGTGAGGGCAATAAATCATTACATCTCAGTTGTTCACATGCCAGAGTGATGGAAATTTTCTTTATCCCTAAAAAGAGCAGGACCCTGTTTACAGATCATTTCAACTCACAGGCTAAAACCTGTCTCTTTGGAGAATTTTACTGGGTATCTTTTATCTAAGAAGAGTCTCGATCGATATTTTCCAGGCAGAGAGGTGTACATTTTCTCCTTTATTTACCACTTTTAATTCCTCCTCGAGAAAGATCTGAAGCCTCAGCAGCGCCTGCTTTGCCAAGACACCCTGCCATTAATCAGAAGTGGGATTATTAAAGCACTTTTCCCCACCAGCGAAAAAATCCACTTATAGAAATACGGTTTATCAAATACAATTTGTAACTGTCTCGCCTGAGCGGCCCCTTTTGGAGACAAACATCGTTAGTGCTGGAGCTGCCTCGCCCATCCCTGGCAGCGGCTTGATGTGCTCCCACCTCCAGACCAGCCCCGCAGCGCCCGGACCTTGCCCTCCCCAGCTGGGGCAGTGGGCTGAGTGGGCTCAGAGGGGCTGGCTGGAGTTGCCGTGCTCGGGTCCTGCTTGGGAGGTGGTGGTAAAAGGAGCAGGAAGTTCTGAAAAGAAAGCTGGACTAGGGAATGAATGAAGAGAAGCAATGCTAACCAGACTGATAAACCAAACCCCCTCTTTTCCACAGCTTCCTCTTTGCACTTGAGCCTCTGGGAGGTGCTGACAAGAGATCATAACACTGCTGGCTGTCTCCCAGAGATCATAGAATGGTTTGGGTTGGAAGGGCCCTTCGAGATCCCCTAGTCCCAACCCCCCTGCCATGGGCAGGGACACCTCCCACTAGACCAGGTTGCTCCAAGCCCCATCCAACATGGCCTTGAACACTTCCAGGGAGGGGGCATCCACAGCTGTGCCAGTGTCTCACCACCCTCACACTTAAGAATTACTTCCTAAATGAATAAATCTTCACTCTTTTAGTTTGAAACCATTCCCTTTCATCCTGTCACTTGTAAGAAGCCCCTCCCCAGCTTTCCTGAAGCCCCTTCAGATACTGGAAGGCTGCTATAAGGTCTCCCTGGAGCCTTCTCTTCTCCAGCCTGAACCACCCCAACTCTTCAGCCTGTCTTCACAGGAGATCTGCTCCAGCCATCTGATCATCTTTGTGGCTCTCTTCTGGGCTCACTCCAACAGCTGCATGTCTGTCTTCTGTTGGGGGCTCCAGATCATGTGCTCTTTGGGCTTAGCCCAGCAAGCTGCCTGTTCTGGTGACAGAGTTGGGTATAAGCGTGGGTCAGAGGAGAGAACATGCACATGGAGTGCCCAGAGTAGAATAAATGCTCCTCTGGGCACATGCATAACCTTACCAAGGAGAAGAAAAAAATCTATTATTGAAGGGGATAGGATTTGCTGCCATATCGATGACAAATGTGCTAGGAGAGGGGTGGAACAGGTCTGTCTTTCTTTCCACTTCGTGTCTGGGAGTGCATCTCCCGTGCCGTGCAGTGTCCGGGCCCCGCATCAGCGTGTCCCTCTCGTCCTGTCTCAGTGACCACACACACGGCTGCCACCAGGGGTTGCTGCCTGGCCTCTCTCTTTCCTTAAAGACACGAGAGCTGTCATTTCCCGCAAAAGTACTCAAAATACACTTGCTTGCAATCATTTGATCCTTAATCCATAATTTCAGTTCATCAGTTAATTAATCACTTAATCAGTTAATCAGGCTAATCACTTTTCCCTGGAAGAAGCTCATGAGAACAGCCAAGATAAATTGCTTCCATCTGGTTTTCCGTTCTTGTCTCCTGCTTCTCCATTTTTGGGCTCTGTGCTGGTGTTAGCAGACCCATAAAAGAGGGGCTTACTCCAGGACTGTGGCTATTCCAGCCCAAAACCTTCACTGCCACCAGCCTCCACCATGGTCTGGGGCTCATTGGAGAGGAGTTGCTCTGTGTGCTGTCTCTGTGCTGAGCAGCAGCCTCCTCCTGCTGAGCAAGAACAACATGCAGCTCAGAAAGGTTTGGCCAGGTTTAAATGAAGGAAAGCAAGTCCAAGTTCCTAAACCTTTAGGTGTCTTTCTTAGAAAACAGATCACCTCTACCTTTGAAGATGCTTTGGACAGCCCTAAGAGAAGGGTTGCTTTCCCACATGCATGACTGTACTTCCACTAAAAGGGGCAGCTGAGGATTGGAAGACTAATGTTCACATTAAAACACTATTTCCCAGTAGTTCCTTTTCTCATTCTTCTAACAAATGCATCAAAAATAGCCAGTTGGGTTCCTTTTTCCTCACTAAACAACAAACACACCATATGCCTATGCCATATATTTAGTCTCCACTGCCCTGTGCTTCTTGACAAACCCAGAAACCAAGGCAAACAGTCTTCAGCCTTTACACCTTTCCCCTGCAGAGAAGCTTGACATTTACACACTTCTGCAGGTCAGACTTCTCTTCTGAGGTCATTGTTGTTATCTTTAAGGCAGCTCTCACTGCTGGCTCCTGGGCTTTCATCACAACCAATCTTGTCCATACATGAACAGGCTCCTGCCACAGGCTGGGAAGCTCTCTGTGCTTTCCTGGACTTCCTCTTCACATCCCATCTTTCCCGTTGCACTTTTCTCTGCCATCTCAGTTTGCTGTTCTCCCAGGCCAGGTGCTTTTGCTGCAACTTGTGTCCTCTTTTCCAGTACCTTCATCCCTCTCCTGCGTGCCCTGGAGGCTGAACCATTAACCTGCCCTCCTCATGCAGGAGTTGCTCACCAGTTTTTTCAGGGAAATGCTTGATTGGATTTTCAGGAACCTTGGGAAAACGACCATAAAGCAACTTTACTGTGCACGTGCTGTAAATATGATTTTTAATTTGCTGCCTGTGCGATCTAGCGGGGCTGGGAGCAGGTGGCACCTGGCAGATTTGCTGTGTGTTTTCAGACCAGCCATGTCCACGCTGTAAGGTCCACACAGGGAACGTGCTGAGTTTATTATTCTTGGTAGCAGATAATACTTTCACTGTGAGGCTTTTTCCCCTCTTATTCCTCCCACCATGCTGAGCTCTTCCTGTGACTGCTGGGCTGACCATCTCGCCCTCAAGGGCAGATGGAAACCTGGGAATGGCAGGCTTCCCCTTCTTAAACTAACCTTGTATTTGGTTTATGGTTGAACTTGATCTTAAAGTTCTTTTCCAACCAGAATAATTCTATGATTCTATAAACCATGTTGCTTCTGTAGGCTGGGCTCAGAGCCTGGCCTTGCATTGTCTGCTCCTTCCATGCTACCAGGAAAACCCACACATTTATAGAGCACCCAAAAATTGTCTCTCTCTGAATTGGTGCTGTCTCTTGCCTGGCTTTGACTATTTTCATCACCAGTGTCAAATCTGTCCCGAGGCTTCTGTAGCTTTGACCACCAGGGCCTGGACCACATGTACCGTTTAAGAGGCAGCATGTACCATGCTCTGTCCTTGTCCTTGGCTGCTGAACACTGCCCTTTCCAGAGCTGTAGAAGGAGCCCAGGTCCAGCTGTCTCCCCACAAACTGTCAGCAAGACTGCCTCCTTTGATCTGCACTCAGCGCTGGATTTTATCCCAGCAGCCAGCAGGCTAATTCCACACGTTTATTCTACAAAGCTCAATTAGAGCAGCTGGCGCCGGCAGCTTCCCTGCTGGCTCTGAGCCTGCAGAAGGAGAGGAGGACTGGTGCAGTGGTTGGGGTAGAAATTTGGGAGTCCACAGGCTGAGCTGCAAATGCCTGCTCTGCAGCTGTCCTCCAGGCCACCCCAGTAAGCCCCCGCAGTGGGACCTTGGCACCTCCGTGCTGCACAGGGAGGGACATCATTTCCCTGCCTCTCCACAGGAGAAATACATTAGAAAGACAAGCTATCGTGGTGATGGGGAACTGTGCCAACAGCAGCAGAAGCAGGTCATGGCTGCTGCATCTGGGAAATGCTGCATAGATCCAGCTGGACCAACAATGGGGAAGAGGATGGAGCTGCAGCTGATGGAGGGTGTGAGGCACACCATACCTTCTCACCACTGAGTTAGCAGTTTGCTTTACAGCTGCAGGACCCCCTCTCTGTGCCCTGTGGCTCTCCAGGACATGAGTTATATTCAGCACTGCCCTGATGAAAAGGATTCTGGTGTGTGTGAGCAGAACCAAAGCCAACACAGGCCTTCTTTACAAGGGCCCTTACCCAGCACAGAAGAGCCCACAGTTATTTCCTTCAACGTCATCAGTGTTACGGTAACCTCTGTGAAAAATTATAAAATTCTGGGGCTAAACATGCTCTGAAAATGCTCCTGTCTGGTTGGTCTTTCCTCTGCAAAGCTTACTATTTATGTCAGCCAGGCAAAGAGGTCTAACCAAGACACAAGGAGGCAGAGAGTCCAACTGATTTTTGCTGGGGAGCAGAGTCAAACCTCATCTGCTTGAGACCTAGTTATGAGGGCAAGAAGGTGTCGAATGCATGTGCTACCTACGCATAACAGACCGTTCCTCTCTCAGGAACCCTCAGGAAATTCCCCACAAAAGGGAACAGCAGCAATGGGCACGCAGCAGCCCAGTGAGCCTGCAGTTGCCATTCCTTTCCCTGACCCTTGGTAAGTCAGAGATGGGGGCTGGCTGACACGCTTGGCCAGGGACAAGTGTGCCTTTTTGGGTACAAGGAGTGCAGAGCCTCAGGGCTATTCCTTCCTCTCCTCTTGAGCAGATTTTAGTGCCATCTGCTCTCTTCTGCTGTCTTTGGAGAAGTCAGGCGGGCTCTTTCGTCCCTTCTGGCAAAGCCGTGCAGTGTATGTCCCCCATCGGGCGTCATGCACCCGGAGGCAGCCAGGAAGGATGAGCCTTGCTCCAGAAAGCTCCCACTGCAGTAGCCCAAGGTCTTCTTTTCTCTCCTCTTCCCTGTCCACAGCCTGTTCTTCTGGATGGGACACTTCCCAAGGTCGCAGCTGACTCCCAAGGTCCAGACTTCACTGTGGCCTTTGCAGAAGGGGATGGGAAGGGGCTGGGACTGGGAAAGGACCTTCCATGTGATGCTCACTCCCCAGAAAGGCGTACGAGCAGTTCCAAGCCCTTGGGGATGGAGCAGGGGATGGAGGAGACATAGGGCAGCCATGAAGCTCCCTGGACTGGGAACAGCTCCTGAAATTACTCTTTTCTCTGCATGCATGAAGTATTTCCCTGCTAATTTCCTGAACAATCCCTGGCCCGGCACAAGCCACATACCAGAGGAGCTGCAAAATTTAGGGGAGAGGTGCAGAGGTTTGCTAGGACATGCTGCCTCAAACCTCATTGCCACACCAAGCTCCAGGTAAGACCTTTGTTGTCTGCCCTCCCTGCCTAAAATCATACCTGTCCCTGGGCTGCCTGGAGCCTGTCCTGAGTGGGAGTCAGCTGAACCCCCTCGTCCAGGTGAGTCCAGGTTGTGTCCCCTCTGAGATTTCCTGCTGGAAGGAAATGGGGAATGAGGGGAAGCAGGTAGTGAGGAGCCCTGGCAAGCTGGAAATGGTCCCCAGCCACCCCTGCTCCCAGTGGGACACAGGGCAAGAGTCCCGCTGCTGCGTGAGCTGTGCAGCTGCTCCAGCTCCTGCACAGTGCAGTTTGGAGACTCTGCTGCTGTGCTGGGTTCATCCCACGGGATGGCACTGCCTGCTCAGGAACGGGCAGCCAGGCCGGTGCTTCTGGCAGCCATAAATTCAGCAAATTAAACGGTGGTGGCAGATTCTGATTGACAGGTCCCTAGAGAGCAAAGTCCCTTGTTTTCTCCATCCCTGAGGGGATCAGGAGGAGCAGCAGCAACATAAAACCCTTTCCCAAGCCCAGCATTTTTGCCCTTGCGGATCTGTTTCTGGGACTCAGCCCATCCCGGTACATCTTGACCCCTTTGAAGCTGCCGGTGCGGTGCTGGGCCAGCCAGCAGCTCCTTCACTGCGGACCTTCCGCAATGTCACGAGCTGACCGCTGCGGAGGCTGCCCGCGCTGCACACGTGAGCTGCTCTACCCTTGCTGCCCCGTGCCCCGCAGTGCAAGGCCCCGAGGTTTCGGTAAAGGGCAAGAGAAACGAGGCCAGCAGAGTTTGGCGTCATTCGCACGTTACTCCTCTCTGCGTGGTGTAAAACTGGCAGGAATGACAACGCTCTG